GAATTCTTTGGAATTTCTTAACTGTGATTTACATAAGCAAATACTGAATCTTATTTCATTTAGTTTGGTACATTTCCATTTCGTCAGTCTCAAACACCAAGTGTTACTGGTCATTATAATCACACAGATTGGTTAAATCGTGTTCCATCATCATTTCATTCGGCAACTATGGACCAAGTAAAATAGTTTTTATCATCATATTATTTATTTATTTATTTATATTATAATGAAAATAGGATGCACAAACAATAGATATTGAATTATTAAATCCGACATTTTGTGGTCTTAATTTCAGTATAACAGGCAATATGCGTGCTGGAATATTCGTCAAAGACATACTTGATAAAGAAAATTCACAAGGAAATATTAAATTAAATTCATCCGATCAATTACGAGCAGGTTTTTTTTTTCTTATTGTTTCTTTGCAATATATTTTCTTTTTGGTGTTTTTTTTTAATAGGTGATCGTATTATTGCATTGACTATATGTTTTGAATCTATAGTTTATGAAGATGCATTGACAATTCTTAGTTATGCATCACCTTATCCAGTATTTTGAATTTTCTATTAAAGAAAATCAAATATTGTTTTGATTTTTTGTTTTCTAGGTTATTCTTCGTGTTCAACGTCCAATACATGCAACAAAAATAGATATTCTAACAGAAAAACGATCAATGACAACAAATTCACCAAATAAAGTCAAATGGCGAGATGATTTTGAACACTATGATAATGATAGTAAATCTTTCATTTGTTTTTTGAATAATTCTAATAATGATAATCTAGAAATTAGTTCCTTACAAACTAATTATCTTTTTATTTTTTAGCACCACATAATCGTTCTATTGTTCAACAAGATCCATCAATGACTCTTATTACAGATACAAAATCTATTTCATCAACAACTCATCCTCGTTCACCATCGAAAAAAACTCATACACAATCACGTCATAACAAAGCATCATCGATTACTAAAGGTAATAAATTAAAAACAGTATCGAATACTGTCGGAGCTATAACAAAATCTTCGGATATCGGCATAAAAATCCATCGAGATAAAACACTAAATCAAATGATGTTAACGTCAACAGGTTTAACAGCAAAGCCAATAGATAGAATTTTAACATCACCAGTGCCAACAAATAAAACAACAATGAAATCTGTTACTAATGCAGTTATTTCTTATCTTCATTATCGAGGTGCTAATACAGGACATGCAACAGGTAGACAGACCAATAAAGGGGAAAATAAAGCAACGCATGTATTTACATCTATTGCATGAATGATTTATTAAAAAAAATTTTGATAATTGTTACTAATTGTTTTCCCTCTACTCTAGATGTGACCAATAATTCTGAAGCAACATTAATGGTATGTTTGTTCTTTTCACAAACAATATTTATAATTATTAAAATTAAGGAACTTAAAGTAATCAGTTGTTTAATGATTGGTTCGAACTAAGTAAACATGATTCAAGAGAAAGAAAATTGTCATCATAACAGTAAAAATTTCACCCAAGAACAGTCATCTTTTTTGACTGAAAGTTTTAGTAGACTCTAATGATTTCAAGAGTTGTCTATGAACAAAGCTTTAGACTAAAATTTTTACATACAAAAATAGTCGCCGTGTCTGACTGTACTAATACTTCGTCTATTCTGCACATATATATATATATATGATCCATCCTGTCCATATCTATGTACAATCCTGAATACCAGCAGTCATCGAATGATTCTGGATAAGTTACTAACGGTTATTTGTGTAAGATCACCTGTTCAATCAAATGCTGACTACGATGCGAAATACACTTGTCATAGTTGTACGAAAAATATCGAGCTATTGAGTCAGCCACAAGATAGCTCAGAGGCAGGAGTATACATCTTCTATATGCAGACAGTTTTTAAATAAAAAAATTGATTTTCGAATCTTCGAGAATCAACATAGATTATTTATAATCTCTAAAATAGAACAGAAGTCTTCTTGTACTTTATAGCCTTATTATGATTCTCCATATGATTATTATGGTGCACAAATATGTCAACCACATCTAAATAAAAATAATAATAATTCCGGGTCAACTGAATCATTAACTGCTGTCACATCCATTTATACAATACAATTATCATCAATAAAACCAAATGTTCCAGCTCAACGAGCTATTATTCCACGTCGATGTGAACGACGTCTTTCGTCTCCTGCTGCTATTTTACCTATAACATATAAACAAGCTGATGATAATGATACTTCACTAGAGAATATTGACACATTTGTATAATTCTTTTTTTTGTTTTTATTGTTTTAATAAGAGAATAATCGATCAAAATTATTTAATTATATTGAAAAAATAAAAATAAATTCTTCATTGAAAATTTAAAATATATCTATGATCTATTCGACATACATTTTTTAGAATACTAAATCCAAACAAGTATTTTTTTAACCTTAGATAGTTATTTAAAAATGAAACGACTGTCAAATATATTTTTCTAAATATATCTCAAGAATAGTTCGATCGATTCAGCTGCAATTTTTTCTGAACATATATCTCGATGAGTTCTACGCAAAACATTAAAGCCTTAATTTTTTATGACTCATTAAATATGGACGATATCTTAACAAAAAAAAAATACGAATATTTGTTTCGATCTTTTATGTACAAAATGTTTCAATGTAGGCATTTTCTGTCATAACAATAAAAAATTTGTATCTCTGAGAAATATAAAGAAAACTTTGTTTCTTTGAAAATGCGACTTCCTGTATTATAATAGATCTTACGAGAGAACATATCCAAGTAATAAATCACTTTTGAGCCAAAAACCAATGAACAAGATGTAATCAACTATGCTGAATCCGATTATCAGAGCCCCATGTGCTACTACCTAGGTCAACTAATCAATCAATGTGAATCTACTACGACGGATTTAGGTAAAACTAAAATACTGAATACTTGGACTTTTGAGGGCGAAATCTGGGTGCAGGTGCTTGTGTACACGTTTGCCGAGCACCCTCACCCAACTTCCGTCCCAAAAACTCCCGGCGTTAAAGATTCCAAGCTCATGTAAATCCGTCGTGGTAGCTACTCGTCGTGTTAGCTTCGCATCGATTTATAAATTGGGTGTGGGTGAAGTATAGATAATGTTAAGTGTGTATAACTGTCCGTGCTGGGTCAAAGGTCAAAAACCGAATAAGGCTACAAGAGGTATAAGGAATAAGGCTGGTAGGGTATAACGCTATAAGGTCTATCTTTATATATAATGCGAAGTGTCTGATTGTCTGTTATCGGGTCAAGGTTAAAGTACAGATGTGAAGCTTGACTGGAAAAAACAGCGATGCAGTATGCACGAAATCTCGCTAGTTTTTTATATTCATTGATTTTTAATAACTAAATTGACTGTACACCTTTAGATAAAAAATGAGCAGCAAATAAAGCCTATGAAGTAAAAATAAAAAAATTGTTACCCTTTGTTTTGTACGTAGGAATACAAGACATAATATATACATTGGTGGTTAAGATTTTGAGTTATGTTACACAGATTTGTTGTTGATGAGTATCTAAAAGGTTATGAACGTGTCATAAAAGTTTCAGCAAGTATGGCGTCCAGCGGTGACCCCACTAACACCCTGTCAATTTGCTCGTAATATCCACAATCTTAGTAGAGAATTTTCAGTTTTGGGAAGTCTTTTAAAAAAGATGTTGGCAGTTCAATGAAATATGTAATTTAACATCAGGTTTTATTATATATTCAACAGAGTCCTGCATTTCATTCAATTCATGACGTTACTGACACTTATGTACTTATATGCCCAAAAGATCCACTATGATCAACGTATTACTCAACAAAAAGAATATACAAAAGAATGGCTAGTGTAGATAGCTGTCTTCTGCAATATCCTATGAGGACCTAAACTCTATTTAGTTGTACAACATGCTATTGACGCCTCAACAAAACTCTCATAGTCATTTCAGTTAATAATGAACTAATAATAAGTTTTGTTTCTTCTTCTTCATTATTACGACTATTATTTATATTATTCATTTTAATTTATTATCATAAAATACAACTAACTAAAATAATCTGACAAATGTATAATAATCAATTAGGCGGAACCACAAGACATACCAACCAATAACTATATCGCGCCTGCCGGTAACCAAGGGTAACTGTTTGTAAGGGTAAGTGGGAGCCGGAAAGCTTCGATATAAAACTTACACTCATATTTTTCTATGTGAGTTCCACAAAAAAAGAGGTTTTATTGTTAATGTATGAAAATGTATATACAGATTGGCAAATCAGTGTATGCGGGATAATTCGGCACAGCTTCTAGTAGATCTCACTAAAACGACCGTGGAAACATTACGAGAAGAGATTTTGAGAAACTAAAAAACAATTCGATAAAGAACTGTTTTCTCTACAAACTTTGTGTCCAAAATTTTTTTCTATCATTCAGGGCAAAAAGGTTATGAGCATTACAAGGCGAAAGTTCAAAAGTCTATGCCGAATCATCCCTTTTTAGTCTATGTCTTTATAAAATATAACATGATTAAATAAACTAATCAGTTGCTATTTATTCTTCACAAAGCATCATTGTTCATATATGAACGAACTTAACTATGAACAAAGGTTACATTATACACCGTCGACTTGTTTAACATTGTCATTGTTGACGATGTCAAATATGCTTTTGAATGAACAGATATATATATATATATATATGCACATTCCAATTCACATTTTTCTAATTAAACATGAGCCATTCAACAGTTAGCATTAGTGCTTTAAGCGACGAAATTTTACTTGCATTTTGATGAAACTTAATAATGTTGATATATTATATTCACTGATAGGTGTTAATAAAAAACTCGATCAATTAGTTCAAGATATTACCTTTACACGATCTATTGATTTGGTGAAAATATTATCAAATAAAAAGAGTAAGACAAAAACAAAGTCAATATTGGATCGATTCTGTTTTGATATAATACCTCGAATTCAACACAATATGGAATCATTGACTCTTGATCGATTATCAATTGATCGTGTTCTTTGCATTGGAAATTATCTTAAATTATGGAGACTTACTCTTGTTAATCTTCCACTTAAAATGGCATGCCATATTTTCAATGGTATGTTGTGTATTCTCTTCATCTTTAAATAATCAAACTAAATCGATATATTTATTTAGACGAGTCATCATTTATTTATATGTTCAAACATCAGATTTTGCATCTTGTCATAAAGATTAATCATATTAAATTTTCAGAAAAAAAGCATGTAGCTACAAATGTTTTTGCTAATATTTTTACTATATTCACCAATCTAAATCATTTCGAATTTGGTTTCGAAGATCATTTTGGATATTCTCCATTATCACTTATTAATTTATCATCTACAATATTTTATTCATCAAGTATTAGTTATTTAAATGTGACGGTACAATATTTTAATGACTGTCTTTGTTTACTTGATGGACGTTTCACTCAATTATATACAGTTATTGTAAAGGTTGAAATTATCAAGAATTCATCACAAATTATAAATAATAAGGTAAAAATTTTTCAATCATGGGCAACAAATTTATTTCGATTTCTAAGAGAGCGAGAAGAAAATTGAGTAGGATCTATTTGGCAGATCTAATAATGATGACGTCTATCTAAAAGCATTTTCCTATAGCAGATGCCATAGAAGACAATATACTATATGAAATAACTTTTAAACAATAATATTTAATGATAATATAATGTACATTTTGTTTGTCTTCAATGAGGAAAATAGTTCAATTCATACTCATAATTAAGCAAGAATGATCGAAACACCGATTTCATGCACAAACTAAAAGATGTGACTGAAAGACAGTCGTAGAATGTTGCTATTTCTTTCTCAATTATTAGTTATACTCGAGAAAGAAATACTTTTCCATTGTCTTTTTTTGTTTTTGTATGTTGTTAGTTTTTGCTTTTGTGAAACTCGCATATTTTACGAAGCAAAATAGAGAGTAGAAGTTTTAAGTCGAAATTTTCCGGCTTCCCCTACCTTCACAGACGTGATCGACATCTCTCTCTCCCTGTCACACACGTGGCAGACATTTGCTAGTTAAATCATTTGTTAGAAGAATAAGAATTAAGAGAAACTGAATAAAAAATAACATCAATAACAAGAAGAGAAAGAAAAGAATTTGAGCGGCAAGAAAAAGTGAAAAAAAAATTCGTTTGAAATCCAGAAATTAAATAAGAGAAATGATTCTCTGACAATCGATGATCTTTGGAAAATAACTATCGTGTGTTGGAGATTTTTCATTTTATGTATTTCTTATTAATATAATGAAGGTAAAGATATGTAAATTGAACCTTTTAGCCCCAAAGGGTATGTGCGAACAATCTTTTTTTTCTCAATATATTCTCTTAAAGTTAAAAAGTTTCTTTTTGTCTTTATATAATATGAAATACATGATTTAGCATATTTCTCTTAACTTGAGTATTGTGAAATTGAAGTGTCAATATTAGAATGTACTTTAAGTGTAGTCAGTTTTCTGTGCTAGGATAAAAGCATTTTAGGTGAAATCGTATCAAATAAAGATATGTTTTGATATATTAGCTCGAGAGTTATTTCGGTAGTCTATGAGTAGAAGAAGACGACTGAAGAACTATGAATATATTTAATTATGTAATCAGATAAATTCTTAAATCAATAACTAATTCGATATGACTTGTCATCAATTTTCTTTTTGTAGAAAATTGTGTCGAATTTGAAATGTTTCTCATTGTTTTCACTTTATGAAACAACTGAATATGATAGTCAAATTGTACCACTTCTTCAACAAATGTCACAATTGGAGAAACTCACATTATCGCTTTGTGTTACAAACCGAACATCATTTATTGATGGTACTCAATTGTATAATGATATATTAAAAAACATGCCACATTTACGATCATTCATTTTTGATATCGTTACTGCAGGCATTCAGATGAAGGCCGAATTACTACCGTCATGTTATGATATTCGGCGTACATTCGTTCAAAGTGGCTATCATATGGATTGTTATATTGATTATTATCAAAGCGAAGCAGGTCGATGCCATATTTATTCGCTTCCCTTTAATATGGAGCATATGCATGCGATTACTAACAATTTTTCTGGTGGTCTCTTCATGAATGTTCGTCGCCTTTTTGTGACTGATTCACTTCGTCCATTTCAACATTATTTTTTTGCTCGAATCTCATTGTCTTTTCCATTACTTACTAGCTTGGAAATATCCAATTGGTATCCACAGCAAAAGAAGTTCATACACCAACCTGGTGAACCTGACCAAACATCATTAATTATTATATATCCCCATCTTGTGGAACTTAGTTTTGTTCTTGGAAATATTGACTATGTCAAACAATTTCTTCTTGATTCAAATATGCGTTTACCTCGTCTTAACAAATTACATGTTAATTATAATAAATTGAAGTGTGTAACAAATGATTTCACAAATGCAACTGCTCGTGCCAAATGTGCAAAATTAAAACATATTACTTTTGATACAACTGAAACAAAAATAGTATATTCAAAAAATTTCTTTCTTTATTTTTCATCATTGAAAAAATATGGAACAAAAAATCTTCTTTTGACTTAAATCGTAGAGACTGTTTAATTTTTTATCTCTCTCTCTCTCTCTCTCATTGTAAAGAAATTTTTCTTCTAATTCTATTTGTGATATTTTGTTTATGTATCAATAAAAAGAATGTGAGATTACTTGAAAATGTTTTGGAAAAATATCTGACAGATGTACGTTGCTATTAATCGTAAAATAATGATGAGTGGAATGCAATAATCTTGTCGAATATATATGTGAAAGAAATGTAGTTTTAGTGTAGTCGTTGACGCTTGAATTTTGTTGGGTGTGGGTGTGGGTATGGGTGTGGGTGTGGGTGGGTGTGGGTGTGGGTGTGGGTGTGTGGGTGTCGGTGTGGGTGTGGATGTGTGGGTGTGGGCGTGAGTGTGGGCAAGGGGGAAAAGGGGATCCTGGATCCTGGTGGATCCTATTGGATGCTGGTGGATGCTGGTGGATGCTGGTGGATGCTGGTGGATCTTGATGGATCCTAGTGGATCCTAGTAGATCCTGACGGAACCTGATGAATTGTAGAATAAATTATTTCAAGCGTACATAAAACGAGGATGGAAAAGTTGATCTTAATGGATATGAAAATTCTTTAAGATCCAAATAAATTAAGTGAGAAAAGGAAATAGTGACTTCAGAATTTGTAACTAAGTAAAGAGAAAAAAGATCCAGGATACCGAGATGATTATGTCTTGGTAAATTTTGGCATATCATCATGGATTCTGCGCATTTTTTGGATCCATCAAGATTTACGCTTCCTCGATCGGTTTGATATTATTG